ATCATAGTGGTATTTGGATTGAAAACCAAGGTCAGATTCCCAGGTCTTGTTTTGTTTAGTTCGGCTGAGCTTATTTTTCCTCAGACGTGCTGAGGGTCATTGCAGCGCAGGGCCATTCATCCAGCAGCACATCTGGGGTAACAGAAGAACGTGTGAGATCAAATGTTTGGGTTTCACCTTGTCAAGCCTTGTAGATGGGATGTGAAGCCCACAGCTCTTGGTTCCCTTGTTGAGTTCTTTCCTGGAGAGGCCATGGTGCACGGTCGATAGCAGAGGCAGCAGTGGGTAAGGCCCTCCCTGCTGGGAGCCGTGCTGCCAAGCGTGGCCCAGGACATGAGTCTCGCTGCTCAGGCACTGTGGCCATGTGCAGCCTCTCGCACGCAGCACCTTCTGGCATGTGCTTTGGAGGAGGAGCTGGAGCAAGCAAGGCTGGGCCCAGCAAGCACACGTATAGCTGCTTTACTTGGGTTAGGACAGTCCTGCATATCAGTGCAGCAGCCTTTCTGTTTGCATTAGGTGTCTGCAGTGTAAGTATGGTTCCATGGCTGTGGTTCTTCCGCTGTTTAGTTATCAGCAGCTATTTTTTTTTTCTTTTGTACTTATTTACATGCTTACGAGAGCATCAGGTTACATGCTCTGACTTTCTTACAGAAATAATAGCTGAAGAAGTGTGAGCAAGGATTTTAAAGCATAGCATCTGAACTCCATAGGGGTATTTTAAGGAACTATGAGATCTTCACTCTGCCTTAAAGAAAAGAACTTGTAACAGTGAGTTCGTTTTAACTGTGAATAAAGAAGCAAATAGTGAGTTTGTGTAAAATAAAATTAGAAGAAGAAGAAGCAAGAATAAGATGATCAAAAATCATGCTGTTATCCCCATAACTAGTGAAACAGACCTGAGGTGCAGGCCAGCTTTATGGTTAGAGAAGTAGGCACTGGCTTCTTTAGCCATGGTCCTACCTTGTAATTCACTTTGTTTTTTTTTGTATGTTACATGGAAATTTGGATTGCTTGGGTAAAAGGTATTTTGAGCATATCTAGCTGTCTGACAAGTATAATATATGTATATAATATAATATATGTACATACTACTTCAAATGATGTTTTTAACATGTGCCCCATTGAGAGTTCTTTTTTTTTTTCTGTAAGTTGTTTTCTCTCCCATCTGTTAAAAAAAAAAAATAGTAAAAAATCTTCCTAAATCATAAATAGCATTTGTAAGTGGAGAATAACTATACTAGTCATAAATTATTTCTGCTTCTGTTTGAACTTTACGATAAGTGAAAGATTTTCTTACAGAAATTACTGTTGCCATTTCCCATTTTCCATCCAATTTCTCATGACAGACAAATGAAAAAGCCACTATTATGTAGTGAACAAAACAGTAGAAAAAGGTCAAGACAAAGACATAAATAATAGTTTTCTGATGTCTTTCTGTATTACCAGGTTTTTGTGCATAAACACATCTAATCTGAATGCTTGGAGGAAAAGATAGGCAAGCAGCTGAATTATGTGGGGATGTTAATTAGTAGTAATTGGGGATGGCAAGGTCTTACAATAGCATTTTCTAATTGAAGTCACATAACTGGCATTTCAGCAATGATTTCTGCTTCAAAGATCAAGAGAGATTATTTATTCTTAGCACTTTCCTGTCTGCAGCTCTCAGAAGTTCACGCAGGCCAAGTGACTTCCATCACTCGCGAACACTGCTGAGAAGAGCTGTGAAACTGCGCTGGGACCCAAGGGATCATTTCCCTCTGTGCAGCCACCATCTCTGAGGTGGAGTGTTTGGGCACCTCTCTAACTGTAAGGGAAGGATGTGACCACTGCTCCAGTTTTGTTTAACACAAAGGTTCATTTGAAAATGCATCATTCTTTCAAAACAAAGCAACAACAAAGCCCCATGCTACACAGGCAGTGACATTTGTATAATATGAATGTGAGTTTTCTGAAGAGTGTGCTTTTTGCTGGGGTCCATAAATTGCTTTGCAGCCTTTCTTCCTCCTGTATGTAAGGACAATGTGGTGTGACTAATCCAGAAATCCACCTCCCATTAGTGGCCTGAAGCAGATGTGTAGTGAAGTGTGCAAGAATAGAGCAAGCGTGGAGAAATCTTATAGCTCATACTTTCTTTTTTTCTTTCATAATGTTTATATGGGTAACTCGCTTTACTGCAGTCACTTACAGAAATATACTATCAAAGATTTCCATTCTTCTTCCTGTACGACTCTCCCTTCTGGTTCCATGCAGATGCTTTTATGGAGCCCAACAGAAACAGTGACTCAGTGTTGCTAACAAGCTGTTGTTTGGTACTTGACATGTGAGCTCTGGCTTAGTCCTTCATAAACTCTGATGGGCAGCCAAGTCTTTGGGTCTTGCTTTTCAGACTCACATAGCCAAAGAAAGGATGCAAATGGTTTATCCTGTCAACAATAGAAGAGCTTGAATTGTGTCAGATTCTAGGCCATGTTCAGCTCTGTGGTCCAGAACTGGTTGTTCTCCACAGTCTTTATCATCTTATTCAGTAGGAGCTGGTCATTTAAGCTTCCCACAAGCAAGTGACCACCTACTATTGAATGTGCTTCTTTACTGCTTGCAAATAAACACTCAAGTCTTCAGTCATCTTTATCTTTTTTAGGGTATAATGGGAATAGTGGGTATATATTCTTATCATTCTAGTAAAAATAGAAGAATGTTTCTGAGGCTTTGAGAGCCATCCAAATTTTGCCCAGCTCCTTGGAAGTCTATTTGTGCAGCTGAGGATACGATCAAGTTCTAACACCATTCAGTAAAACACAGAAACCACTTTGTATAAGCTTCCATGAAAAAAATATCTAGAATTATAAGCTGACTATAGTGCTGCTGTTGGATATAAGGGGAAAGAAAAGCTTAATTTATAAGGAGGCTTTTTTCCCCCAAAACGTGTTCTGTCTGTTGCCAGTCCCTGCTGTGTCCGTGTCCAGCTTCAGCTTTCCATATAGGAAGTAAACTGGTGAGAAGAGGCTGGGGAGCAGCCCCCTTGGTGCTTGTCAGGGCTTATGTATGCTCTCAAAATGAAGATGGTGTGGGTGGGTGCACTTTTGCAGTTTATCTGATAAACAAGCAGTATTCCTGAGGGAGCTGCAGGTACTTCTGAATAACTGTTTCTTACCACAACAGAAGTGATTTTTATGCAGGTCTGCCATCTCTTCCCTTGCTGTTTTCGTAAAGAAAAGATATTGAGGGGAACTTGTGTTAAGTTCAGTGACACCTTGAAATAGCTGTCTACAGATACAGCACCAGACCTCCACACACTGAGTTGATTAAGCTGCTGTTTGCACTGTTCATTTCCCCTAAAAAAAAAAAAAAAAGGAGTGAGACTAAAAGCACCCCAGGGAATGGTTGTAAGGTAAAGGATGGGAAATTTAGATTGGATGTTAGGAAGAAATTGTTTATTCAGAGGGTGGTGAGGCACTGGCACAGCTCCCAGCAAAGCTGTGGATTCTCCATCCCAGGAGGTGTTCAAGGCCAGGTTGGATGAGGCCCTGGGCAGCCTGAGCTGGTGAGCTGCACACTGCCCATGGCAGGTGGCCAGAGTGGGCTTTGAGGTCTCTTCCAAACCAAGCCATGCTATGGCTTTATGATTCTGTGAATCAGGTGCACTGAAGAGCTACCGGGTGACTTAAAACTCTATTCTTTGAACTCATATCAGTATATGTAGGGTGAGGGCTGTTCTTTCAACATGATGGTCACTTCTGTTCAGGAGTGGCCAATGGGAAGGAGAGGTGAAATTCTTTTTTCTTACCCTTGGGCAGCATGAGGCTGGATGGATGAACACTTTAAGCAGTAATTAAAAGAAGCCATGGCGATTTTACTGAGCCCCACTTAGTAATTCTCACATTTGTGCTGTCTTCTCCAGCTGTTTGCACAGCTTGGGGAGACTCAGCTCAGGGAGTCTGATGAGTTTTAAAGTCTTAACAGTTTAATTCCTTTACCAGGTGATTTTCCAAGCATGACCTCTTTCCCTACCCAGGTTGTCATACAATCAGAGAAATGCACATGCCTGCACTGGGAAAAAAGACAGTGGAGGTCTGAGAGCAAACAAAGTCAAAGAGAATGCTGCACTGGCATCAGCATTAGCCAAAGCATACTGTACCAGAGATAAGTTTGTTTATTTTTTTTTGGTCGTAACACATGGGCCAGTTTGTCTATGGAAGGGGCTGGCCTGGTGATGTGGGCTGCCCTGATACCCATGAGCTGCTTGCCTGCTTGCTCCAGTGCATGAAGCAGTGGAAATAACTTCAGTACCAATGCATATATGATAAATTATGACCCCGGGAATGTAGAGAGCTGGTTGCTTTGACAGGGCAGGCCTGTGAATCTTCTCATCTATTCTTTCTCCAAGCAGCTCACAAATATTACAGTGGTAGTCTCTCTGGAGGCTAGACTTCCAGAAGGAAGTAATGACAAATATGGCAACAGAGAAACCTGAAAAAGTAGCAGGAAAAGGGAGCAGGTGAAAGTATTTGTGGGAAGAGAACAAGAGAAGGATCATGGGCTGAAAATGGAAGCCTAAGTGAGTATCCGTAATGAGTTCCTATAGCCAGTGAAACTTCTATTTGCTCACATCCTGAAATGGAAGATGTGAACTGAGATGACAGTACAGTGTCACGGAGAATGCTAAGAGAGAGAAGCAGAACGAGTCCTTTCCCTGATTTCTTTCGGCATATGACTTCTGGGAAGTTAGCAAGGCCTATGTCTGATTTTCTCTGCTCGTGTAATCATGCAATTCTCTTGATGGCATTTTCGAGAATCAGTCAGCACAACCCAAACCGTCAAGCTGTGCTTTAAACTTGTTTTGTTTGTAGTGAGAAGTGCCAGTGAAAACTTCTGAAGGAAATAACTCGTTTTGCCCAGGTGTATTTAGGCAGTTCTATGTTGCAGAGGGCACTGGTATTAAAATTTCTTTACTCCACAGTGTGATTTGACATTCTATTTATTATGTGTTTCTACTTTTGCAGAAGCAGTGTACCGTACTGTGGTACAAAGACACACTGGTGCTGTCAGCACTGGAAAAGACTGAACTTGCCATCTCCATTGAACCTCGCCAGAGGCTGCCCAGCAAGTCACAGCTGTAAAATGTTCATCAGAAAAAACTAAACGATCCTTGAGAGTGAGTAACAAGCAAATCTGCCTTTTTTTCTTTTTGTCTACAATGCTTTGAAAATAGGTTTGTGCAGAAAAATGTGTTTGGAAATGCACAAAAATTCCGGAGTAAATAACCAAGTGAGAAGAACTCAGTTTTAAATAAGGAGCCAAAATACTGTCATGCTGCTGTGTCCTTTGAAGTATGCAGTCTCTTGCCTCCCCTGCTGTCCATTTGTACCCCCCATTGAAATTCGTGTCTAAGTTCAGCACTGGTGAGATAAACTGGCCAGTGTTGTACTGAAATGAGTACATACATGAGTACATTACATAGAGTACATGAGTACTCTAAGTGAGAAGTTGGACTCATCTCCTGTGCTCTGTGTGGGCTAGAGCAGGAGAACATGGTATGAGGTTCAGTGGTTTGTCACTCCCCACCAGGGATAAGTTCCTTTCATGGAGTGTTTGATGAGCTATTTTTCTAAGCTAATATACATTATAGGCTATTAACTTTTAACGCATGATACAACATTGCTGGCTCCTGAACCTTCAGTGAAAGCAAGCTTTGTGTCTTCTGAGGCTCTCCTAACAGCAAATATGTTAAAATGAAAGGTTTGCTTGACATGTCAACACACCTGCAATTCTGATATACCTGAATAAGAAGAAAACCCAGTGCAATCTCTGCTAAAAGCCCTATAATTTAAGCAGTGATAAACTGAGAAGAACATTGAAAGAAGTATAATTTGAAGTTGATTATTTATTCTGTTTTCTTCAAAAGTGGTCACAGTATATGAATGCTTAAGCACGATAAGCACTCAGATACAGAAAAAGCATTGTGAGATGCTGGCTTTTGAGACAGATAAAGCTGGTAGTGCTTTCTGTAGAAAGTTGTGTTCTTGATAACATTCGAATGCATGCAGTACCTGCAGTTTCCCTGGCATGCAAAGCAGGACTGATGTGCAGGTTAGAAAGCAAAATGAAAGACCAAAACCTGGAGAAATAGTTCCTTAAAATTTTCACCTCTGAAGTTGTCAGTGTTAAAAGGCCAAACATTTTGTAATTTTAATTTCCTTTGAAATCAGATTTCTATTTTTGCATGCTTGCATATGTTTGTTCTTGTGTAGGTATGCATACGTAAATCAGTTTTTCATCCTCTCAGGTATATGTAGAAAATGTGAGATGACAAAAATGTGGAGAAGTGTTTTCCTAGAATCAGAATAGCTGAGGGATGTAATTATGTACAGAAATGTGCTGCAGGTCTGTCACATGTATACTTGCACATACATATGCATGATATACACAAAGAAAAGAAATACCTTAGCTTTTCCTAGTTGGCCTACTTCACATGAAGGAGATTTGCACACGGACTTTGAAGGTTTTCAACAAAACACACGTTTGAGGTGATACAGTATGTTCCTTAGTGGGTTATGTGAAGCATCTGGCAGTAGTTCTTCATGAACCAGCTGAATTGAGACTGGTGATGATTCTACTTTTGTTTGTTGGTTTTTTGTTAGTTGTTTTTTTTTTTCTTTTTCAATAGATAACCAGAGACTGTCCGTGGCATCACAGAATCACATTTGAATTCAAATGGGCCTTAGAGCCCACCCAATTCCAACCTCCCTGCTGTGGGCAGGGTTGCCACCCATTAGATCAGGCTGCCCAGGGAAAGCCACATCCTCTGCGCAAGGAGCTTACAACGTTCTAAATTGTTTCATTTTTTCTTCTGGAAAGTAAAGCCTTTGCAAAGTAGCCTTTATGCTGGTGGAGGAGCTGGACTTGTGGAATCATCTCTGGAAGAAGCTTAGGACTCAGAAAATGAAGGCTGAGAGAGAGAATGACTTCCACGGAGAAGTCATTACTGAGATTTGTTGAGACTTTCTGCATCAGTTGCTTTTTACATTTTATTCCAGTATGAGTATTTTAATTCTCATAAATCATGATTTACCATTGACAGGACATGTCATGATGCAACCAGGCAGACACAATCTTCTAGCAAATTGCAGAAAGCAGAATCTTTCTCACAGATACTATGAGATTGTTTTAATCTAGCTTGAGATGTTTGATGTATAGTTTTCAAGATGCTGTTTAATGAGGTAATTATTTTAGAATGTGATTCATTTGTCAGTAGAAAGGTACTTTAGGATGACAGGTGTGTCCTTTGTTAACCCTAATGGGAGTATAACAGAGTAAGTTGGTGGTGTCTGCATTGCCCAGTGAACCCTTTTGTACATATTTGGTGTCGTGATGCTGTCTAGAGAGCACCAGGGTTTTGGGGAGGCCTGAAAATTTGCATTCTGTTATCTGTGGTCAGAACAGACAAAGGTGGTACCAAACAGATCCTCAGTCTTTTTGTTTCCTCTTACTCGAGAATCTGAGATTCAGCTGCAGTCATCTATGACTGTCCTGGAAGAAAAATAATACAATGGAAGTGATAATTTCTAACAGTTATGCAAACCTTAGCTCTGTGGTAAAATTTGCCTGTGAATTTGTGTCCTGAAAGTATGGTCCATGCCATGCGACCTATAAAATAAGAATTGATGGGAGTGTAACTGTGTTTTTCAGATGGATGGCTGAGGAGTTAGAATGTTTCTGGTTTCTTGTGAAGATTTTTCAAACCTCATTGAAGCTGGAGCAGAGCTGATGGTTTCTTACACCTATTAGGAAAAAACTTTCCTTTATAGAAGCGTTGGTGGAGGGAAAATATGAGGGTGAATGGAGCGTACAGCAGATGAGGCTGAGCACAGGCTGTATACAGGGAGGATGGGCATGGTTTGGATATTTGTTTTGAAACTCAGTACATGTGAAAAGAAGGAGGAAACAACAAAGAAGGTACTGAGGAAATCACAGACAAGAATGCTGGTAACGCTGGGAAAAAGTCTTGTGCGTTCTCTGCAGTGCTGTGATGCAGGAGCATACTTGCACTATGGATATTGTTCTGCTGTTTGAGTCCCATTGGTGAAAATCTTCAGCTTCCCTCATCTCATTCCAAGTGAAAGTATAATGAATTAATTTGTTTGCTGTGCAAACTATTCTGTGTGTGGTTATTATTTTATATACTTTCTTGTTATCTGGATGAAGAAATAATTTCCTCTTCTTGTGGTATACACCTCGACCCCATAACCATGCGTGCTGTTTTAAGTATGTTGTTTGTTTCAGTGGCTTCAAGTGGTTGTAGATTAATTAGGTGGAACTGGCTTGTTCGTCCCTTGTGAGCTGTTGCCAGCCTTCTTGGTAATTATCACAAGGTTGTACAGGGCTCCTGGCAAGGGTACTAAACATCTGCTTAAGAACAAATCCCCAGGAAAAAAAAAGAAGTGAAAACATAGCTGATTACTTAGGAGACAATTTGGTGCCACGTTTGTGTTACCATGATGGGTTTGATTTTTAAGACGGTTAAAACTGCCTTTGATAGAACACATACGCAGTTAGAGTACTTGATTCATAAATTTATAATGGACCGACTTACACAAATTATCAGTGAAGCAGAGCAGGTCTGTGACATTTACTGCAACAGGAATAATACAGTAATCATTGGCATCAGTGTTTTATGTGAAAAAGTAATCATGCTGTTCAGCTCTTGTTTCAGAATGTGTTTCCACTTGGTGAGTCTTCACGTGTGTCATACAGAAATTCCATGGCTATGTTTGCTACTGCAATTGTAGGGGTTTTTGGTCACCAGGGTTTACAAAGCATTATTAGCTAAGACAGACCTAGAAGTTCTGGAGGTGGTTCATAATGTGGTAGCCATGGTTTGTTCGTTAAGATACTGCTAATGATGCATTTTTATGGACCTGTTCAAGACAGTGCCCAACCATTCAAAGCAGCAACATTCACCGTCTCCAGTGCAGCCCCTTCAGGTGTAGCAGCTGGGAGAGAAATCAAGACATCTGCAGAAAGCTTCTGAACTGATTTATGATTGTCTTAGAGGAAAATATTTTTAGCCCACAGTGATTGATTCTTCACAACTTGCAAGGAGATTCATGAAAGCAAATAATACTTAGATATCCTTCACCATTTGTTGTGTATATATTGTCCTTTATGGATGTAATACATCAAGGGGACAAATCCTGAAGATATTTAGTGCTCATTTGACAGCCTGCTAGCATGAACATTAAAATCAGGGGTACTGTACATGGTATTAGGATGATGTCAGCATGAATAGAACATTCTCTGTTCTCCCACAACACAAATATATTTGTTGGTATCTGAGAATGGGAAGAAACCTAGTCTCCTTCCCCAGCCGAGGAAGATTTTCCTATGGTAAGTTACAGAGCTTACTTCAGACACTAATTTGAGAGAGGGTGGCACCAATAGTCAAAAACCTACATTTCCATGAGGTTGGTACGTGGTAGGAGCAGACTTTGTCATTGCAGTATGGTGCTTGTAGGCTGCTGAGGTAGATGGAAAAGTGCCATTCAGAAAGACAGTTATGAAGAAAGGTGGAGGGATTTGGGCTTATGTAGCTTGGAGAGGAGAAAGCTCTGGGGAGATCTCATTGCTACCTCCCAGTACTTGAAGGGAGCGCATAACCAGGAGGAGGACCAAATTTTTACACAGTCTGATAGTGATAGGAGAAGGAGGAATGTCTTTAAACTAAAAGAAAGGGAAATTTAGGTTAGATGTCAGGAAAAAGTTACTATTCAGAGGATGGTGAGGCACTGAAACAAGTTGCTCAGAGAAAGCTGTAGATCCCTGGAGGCATTCGAGGCCAGGTTGGATGGGTCCCTGGGCAGGCTGATCCAATGGGTGGCAGTCCTGCCCATGGCAGGGGGTTAGAACTGAGTGGGCTTTAAGTTCCCCTTCAACCTAAGCCATTCTGTAACATCTCCCACCCAGAAATCCCTCTGTGCATGAGTGTAATGCAAATCTCTGTTCTCTCATGAGCACAGCTGTATCCTGCTTTGTTCCCAAGGCTCAGCCCCAGCACTTCTGTTGAGCAGCAGTGAGCTGGAAAGATCTCCTAACTGCATTTATGTAAATGAGACCAGAACATCTCTTTCTTGTGTGTTTGCGTCTATACTGTGTTGT